CAGCCCATCACAGGGACACCCTGGACAGGTCTCCAGTCCATCACAGGGACACATGGAGACAAACAAGACAAACAACCATTCACTCTCTCACCTAGAGAAATTTAGAGTTACCAATCAGCCTAACAAAAAGACAAGAAAAGAAAAGAAATGTTTGCAAGAATTATAAATCTATTAAAATAACATTTGGACCATTTGTTTTGGTTTTCTGTTAAGAGGCAACAAAAAAAAAAGTGGATGACAAGAGGATATTTTGCTGGATTTATCAGCTGTTTTACAGTGAAACAACATTTGCTTGTGAAACTGTCTTGGTGGTTACAGACTGGGATGCACGGAACAGACACATGCAGAAGAAGAACTGTAGGACTTGTGCTCGTGCTTCTTGAGGGAGCGCGCGGCGCAGCAACGCGCCTGTGCGCGCTGAGCGCATGGCACACCGGAGAGCCGGGTGGAGACGTGTTTGGCTTCTCTGCTGCCTGACAGGACCTCCTGACTGCTGAACCCGGAGGACAGACAGGAGTTCATCAGCCTCGTTTTCTTCAGCAGAGGTTTAACAAAGGCAAGTGTTGTTTGTTTATTTATTTTTTAAAGAAAGATTCATTCCTGTTTAAAATGCTCCAAAAAAATGCTGTTTTTTGTAAAGAGGGTTTAATAGAGACTTTATCCTCAAGCAATCAATCAATTTATCAATTTACTATAGCCATATTTTTTTCTTCAATGTGGCTACAATTAAGGTAAATCAGACCTCAACATGTTTATGAAGCTTGATGATTATATATATATATTTGGTAATCCATCTCTGTGCAATTTTTAACTATTCCTATGTAAAAGTGTTCAGCTTATAGTGAGATAAGTGCTGTGGAAGTTGTCTTGTCTAACTTCTGAAACTCTTCAATTATTTAACTGATTAACACAGAAGGAATCAGCTCCTTCAAAAACATTTTCTTTAAAATCTGCTTCAGCAATCTTGGTTTTTTTTTTTTTTGTCTTGTGCTACTTTTAACTTTTAGCTACACTTTTGCTTGTTTCACTTTCTAGCAAGCCTTTTGATATTTTTTTAACTTTTAGCTGTCATTTAGTTTGTTTAACCTTTTGCTATTTTGCACCATTTAGCACAACAGGAGTTAGTTTTGTTTCTTTTAGCATTTAGCTGATGTTCTGCTTTTGTAGCTTAACAACAAATTTCAGCAGTCATTCATTCACTCAACATTTTTGCAGATAATGTAGTTTTCCTAATCATATATTTTCCTCTTTTAATGTTTTAGTTCAGATGAGTGGTTTGTGAATCTTTTTCTCGCAGATTGAAGTCCGGTCATGTCTGCCAATGGTAGCTCAGAGACACGCTACAGGTCAGAGGTCAGCGGCACCAACAGCACCTGCTGCCACAAGGAGCTGTCCGTCACAGCTTCGGTCATCTCCATGACTGTAGGCATCGGTTCCAACAGTGCCGCTCTCTTCATCCTGCTCAAATCCTACAAGCGCCTTCGCATCAAGTCCAGGGCGTTCTTCCTGCTCTTTGCCAGCAGCTTGGTGGTCACAGACCTGCTGGGTCACCTCGTCAACGGCTCCCTGGTGCTTTTTGTCTACCGCTTTCAGAGGAATTGGGAGACCTTTGACCCCCACAGCATAGTGTGCAGCATCTTTGGGGCCTGCATGGTGTTCTTTGGTCTGAGCCCCTTGTTTCTGTCCAGTGCCATGGCTGTGGAGCGCTTTATCGGCGTCACCAAGCCCATCTTCCACTCAACAGTGCTGTCCTCGCACCACATTAAAAGGCTGCTGGGGCTCACCTGGCTGCTCGCTGTTCTTGTGGCTCTGCTGCCCGTGCTGCTGCAGAGACCCTATGAGGTTCAAAGCTCCAGAAGCTGGTGCTTCTTCAACATGGATCAACCCAAAGACTGGCTGGATGTGCTGCTGCCTCTCATTTTCTCCGTTCTGGGGCTCGTGGCGCTGCTGCTCTCCATCATGTGCAACACGCTTACGAGTTGTGCTTTGTTGCTGGGGAGGCTGCGCAGTAAGCAGCGCTGCAGAGGCACCTCTTACCACGTAGAGATGATCTGCCAGCTGCTCGCTATCATGCTGGTGTCCTGCGTGTGCTGGGGGCCATTACTGGTAAGAACCTCTCGTCCTTGCTCCTTTGATGTTTCATTTGAAGAAGCACTCATTGACCTTACAGCTAATTCAAAAACCTGATTCATTTTCCATGCTGACCCTCAGATTAAGGTTAAAGTGTTAATCACTCAACATATTTTTCACTTATCAGTAACTTTGTTAGTTTTTTCTCATTTTTATACCACATCTGGTCGTGATCACTGAAGCTTACTTTGTGCATAGTCAGTGTTTGTGACATACAAATAGGTTTTGTAATAAGACAGGGATGTGACAGAATTGTTACATATTTTTTGTGACATTTAAGGAACAGCCACTGAATTAAAAAATTTTTTTTTATATTGCACCGATACACCAGTCGGCCACAAAATGAAATACCCCAATAACAATTAAAATGTATATATTCAAAATGAGAAACTGTTGCACTGAAAGGGTTAATATTACTTTTATACCTGTTACTAATCATAATTATTATTGTTGTTATATATATATATATATATATATATATATATATATATATATATATATGCACATTTTTAATACTTTAATAATATTATTATTGTTGTTGTTGTTGAAGCTGCTGAGAGTGCATGACAAGAACCAAGTATAAATATAGGTATAAATAAAGGTTTATCATTATTATTATTAATAATAATAATAATAATAAAAGTTTTCCACTAACTTTTTTCTAACTTTATTTGCATGTAAACAACAACAAGCAGACGATGCATCACTCACATCTTGTTATTTGACAAGACAGGAAGTCTTTAAACGCCTTGTAGAGTCCAGTTTTAGATGTTTTAATTTCCCACAGTGTATTCCCACATTAATTATTGGGGAGATAATAAAAAAGCTGGACAACGTTCAATAAATATTGCAATAATTTGGACCTGAACATAAATTATGAAGAACATAAACAGTCATAAGAGTGTTTGTGATAGGAAATAAACAAGCCAACAGCGGCTCTTAAGTTTTGCATAAACTATTATATTTTTAACTTTTGAAGAATAAAGATAACTTTAATTTGAAAAGCTTTTCTTTACTTCTAAATATGATCATCATGAAATATATATTTTGTTTCCAGTCATGATTAAAAAACAAAAAGCAACTAAATAATTTACCTTCAATGCTTTAGTGTTTCAAAGCCATTACACATTCTTAGATATATTTTTAAAGATTATTTATGAGTGTGATGAATAATTTGCCAAACAAGTCGTTTTTTTTCTTTTATTCTCATTTCCAGATTCATGTCATCATCCTGAGCAGCAGAGCCAAAGGAGAGTCCACGTGTTTCCGGCTGCTGACGATGATACGAATGGCCACATGGAACCAGATCCTGGACCCGTGGGTCTACATCCTCCTGAGGAAGGCTGTTCTGAGGAAAATCTTCATGTTGGTTCATGGCTGTTGTGGCTCGAAGCTCCACAGCTTTCACCGCTGGCAGCGCAGCATGCTGGGCAGCTCAGTGGAAACCAGCAAATCGGACTGCTGCCACCATGTTAGAATATCTCTGCCGGACATCACCATCCAATCCATCACCTGAGCCTCAGGTTTCATTTGAGAACACTTGAAAAAAGACGAGTGAGATTTGCCAGAATGTGATAACCTGACAATAGTGTTGCACAGCTTTGTTTACTACATCATTGACCCTTAATCTTGTCAGACACCATCACATTTCATCCATTTTATTTCCTGTGGATGTAAATTCTAGTATAATATTCATTACATGCTGGTTGCAGTGTGAGCAGATGAAAAGTTGCAGCACAAACAGATTCAGCTGTAAATGACGCAGACTGTTTAACTCTGTATAAAATAAGAGGAATAGCAGAGTTCAGCAGGCTTTTTGATACAAGTGCTGTACACAGTGTAAAACATTTGTTTAATGGTAAACAAGACTCTCAAAGAAGAGGCGTGCTCACCATGTATCTAATACGAGAATTGAGGTAGAAATGTTTTCGAAGCTGAACTGAGGGCAAACCAGGAATCGTATTTGTTGCTGATGTTTCAGTTTCATTGCTCTGCTTCACGATACATTATTACTTTGGCAGTGGGATATTTTGCCGTGATGGTTCTGTACTGTGTGACTTGTTTGATGACATTTTTTTCCAGTGCATTTCTTGTCTTGAAGTACAACAAAAACGAACAAGCGAGTTGTAGTTTGCTAAAATGTTCTCTCTTCACATATTTTGAAATCTGAATGCACTATATGCTGCTTTAATGGTACGTCCCTGAAAACAGCCCTGCACAAAACACCAGGTTGATGCCTTTTAAATGGTTTTTTTAATGTTTTGTGTGGAAGGAAACACAATCATACATCCGAGAACACGCAGACAGGTTCTTCTGGCAGTGATTCTTGCAGACGAACACTAGAAGTCCCCCATTCTCCTCACTACTGCACACAGATGAGATTATATTCAGTTATTCGTGGCGTGTATGCCAATCAATGCTTTTGGCACTGTTCTCAGAACTGTTACCCAATGTCTCCCCCTGCAGCAGAGTAACAGCCATGCACCAGCAAAAAAAAAACATGAATAAATTATTGCAGGAGCTCAATATGCTTTTATAAATATTATAAGTTAGTTTAAATATTGTATCAAAATGAATGTGATGTGTTTTAAATGTAAAGTTCTTTTTTCGGTGAGTGTAAATTTGGACTTCCCCAATAAAAAATTTAAGAAAACTGCATGTCAATTCATTTACAATATGGCCTAATGATCCTATCTTTATGTGTAATTTAAAAATATTAGTTGAAAACTACTGTAATTGGTGAAAATGCAACACAAAGTACATCTAAAGTGTGCGTCCTAAGTACCGCAGCTTTTTATAATACATCGTATTTGAGTATTTTTACATAAGTCTGGGATTTTTTTTATAAACATCTAATGCATTTCTTTTTTTATTTGATGCAAAAAAGCAAAGTACGTCATAATTAGCATTGAAAAGAAAATATAAGGCAACCAAACAGCAAAATTCAAAAAGAAAGTAAATAAACAACAAAATTAAAAGACCAGTGAAAACATGAAAACAAGATAAATACAAATAAAGACGTCAGTTACATTTGCGTACACGTTTTTGTAATATGTATTAAAAACTAACAAGGTTGAGTCACGTTCTCTGGTCGGATTCATCTTTGTGGAAACGTTTCGTCTTTTATCTAAAAGACTTCTTTAGTCTGAGGAGCTGCAGAAAGCTCAGTCTTATAAGCAGCACCTTCTCACAGTGGATCAACCAGTTTGCTGCTGACAGCCAAAACTAGTTGTTCACATGTAAAAGGAAGGCTAACTAAACTAAACAGCCACTAGCCAAAAGGATGGCCCAGGGCAGAAGATCAACATCATCAGGCCAGGACTCTGTGGTCTACACTCATCTCCAGGCCAGCGGTCACTCTTTCAGGGATGAAGATGTTCACATCCTGGACAGAGAGGAACGATGGTTTGAGAGAGGAGTAAAGGAGGCCATCTTTGTGAAGAGAACTTGTCCATCATTAAACAGGAGTGGAGGCCTCCATGTTCAACAGTCCCCCTCTTACAATGCTGTTATAGGCCCTTTTCACATGACGTCAGACAACTTCCTTTTTGACTCGATGCTGTGGATCATTACTTCCGGGTCTATTCTCCCTCGGGAGACCTGTCTGGAAACTTAATGGAATTTCATTCCTTCAACCTTTATTTACAGAGGTTATATTACAAGATATAGTGCAAGGTAAGGTTAATAAAAACAGTATTTATGTGTTAGTTTAGTTAGTTAATTTAATCACATCAGAACATGGAAATGGTTTGACATATAGTTTTTAATTCAATATTTAAAATGCTATTCTAAACAACAGTGTTGGAAGATGTCAGAGATTTTACATTAATAGATAAAGTAAACATTTTAATGTTACAGCACTGACAGGCAGCAGCAGTGTATATTTTAGCTACCTGTTGCTGCTAGCTTACTTTACAATTGGAGGCTGTTTCCTTACACAGTTACAGAATGGTAAATTGATAATGATGGATAACGTTACCACAGCTAACTAACACGTAAATATTAGCTAGTAAACCTTTAAACGTTAGAGCACTGACAGCCCGTGTTGTATATTTTAGCTACTGTGGCTAAAGTTGCTGCAATGATGGATAACGTTACCACAGCTAACAAACACATAAATACTGTTTTTATTAACCTTACCATGCGCTATATCTTGTAATATAACCTCTGTAAATAAAGGTTGAAGGAATGAAATTCCATTAAGTTTCCAGACAAGTTTCCCGAGGGAGAATAGACCCGGAAGTAATGATCCACAGCATCGAGTCACAAAGGAAGTTGTCTGACGTCATGTGAAAAGGGCCTATTGCGAGTATCACTCATCCCCCTGTGAATGTCCAGCGGCCATCAGAGCACTAACGATCAGCTGTTAGGCTGATGGTCCTCCTTTTGCATGTGAACAACTAGTTTTGGCTGTCAGCAGCAAACTGGTTGATCTACTGTGAGAAGGTGCTTCTTATAAGACTGAGTTTGTTGCAACTCCTAAGACTAAAGAAGTCTTTTGTACAAAAAACTAAATGTTTCAACGAAGAAGAAGAATCCATCCAGAGGACCTGACTCAGCCTAGTTACATTCATATAATCTAAATGGATTATTGATCATACATCAGGACTTTATTAAAAACGTTTTTAAGATTTCCAATTTCTGGGGGAAATGCATCAAAAGGAGATGCATGTTTAAAAATATGAAATTGTTGTTTTGAATTTAAAGGCATAAATGCAGGATAAAGATGCTGAAACCTCAGCTTGAAAATGAACAGCATCTGTGAGGTGCTGGCAGACATCTTTAACACCTCACTTACCCTGGAGACAGTTCCCACCTGCCTGAAGACTGCCACCATCATCCCAGTCCCAAAAAGCTCTAGTGACTGGTCTGAATGACTATCGGCCAGTGGTCCTCACCCCGATAGTTGCTGAATGCTTTGAAAAACTGGTCATGACTCACATCAAAACAACCATCAACATGAACGAGGACCCTCATCAGTATGTATACCGTGAGAACCGATCAACAGAGGATGCCATCTCCTCTGTGGTCCACACTGCGCTCAACCACCTGGAGCAGAAAAACTCTTACGTCCGTATGCTCTTTGTGGACTTCACATCTGCCTTCAACACCATGATCCCCCAAACACTGATGGACAAAGTATCCACACTAGGACTAAGCCCCTCCATTTGCAACTGGGTCCTAGACTTCTTAACAAACAGACCACAGTTAGTGAGGATCTACAACTTCTCCTCCTCCACCATAACCCTCAGCACTGGGTCTCCTCAGGGATGTGTGTTGAGCCCCCTCCTGTTTACTCTGCTCACGTGTGATTGTGCAGCTACCCATCCAGGCTGTCACAATGTAACGTTTGCAGATGATACAGCGGTGGTGGGATGCATCACAAACAATGATGAGTCCAGCTACAGGCAAGAGGTGGAATACCTGGAGAGCTGGTGCAAAGAGAATAACCTTCACATCAATGTGAAGAAGACAAAGGAGATGATTGTGGACTTCAGAAGGAACAAAAACACCTACACCCCCCTGAACATAAGAGGATCTGCGGTGGAAGTGGTCTCCAGCTACAAGTACTTGGGTGTACACATGAATAACAACCTCAGCTGGAGCAACAACACCACCAGCCTGATCAAGAAAGCTCATCAGAGACTCTACTTCCTCAGACGGCTGAGGCGAGCTGGTCTGGGAAGCTCAGTCCTCACCTCCTTCTACAGGTGTGCAGTGGAGAGCATCCTGTGCTCCAGCATCAACGTGTGGCATGGAGGCTACACAGCTGCAGAAAGAAAAGCTTTGCAGAGAGTGGTGAAGGCTGCACAGAAGTCTGTTGGAATCAGCCTCCCCACCATCACAGACATCTACACCTCCAGATGCAGGAAGAGAGCCACCTGCATCATGAAGGACCCCACTCACCCAGCACACACACTTTTTGCCCCACTCCCCTCAGGAAGGAGGTTGAGGAGCATTAAGTGTAGAACCACTAGACTGAGGAACAGCTTCTACCCTGAGGCTGTTAGACTCATGAATCTCTAACTAGAATAATCACTGTGAAAAACCATATCATGTTGCTGCTGATCTGTTTCAATGTTGATGTGTTCATGCGTGCACATCTGCTCACAGACTCATGTTCATGTTTGTGCTGATGTTTTATGTTATGAGTGCTTAGTGTATATTTAGTTGATGTTTTTCTTAGTTCATATCTTAGATGTTATTACTGTTTTTCTTATATATTTTATTGTTGGATGTAACTGGGACCTTGTGTACATAATTTCGCTCCACCACATGTACCACATGAGGTGCGAAAACTGCGAATGACAATAAAGAATCTGACTCTGAACTGCAGTGCAACTATTTGTGTTGTAATTACCCAAACCTCCTGTAGGTGGCAGCACAACAACACTTTCATTCAGATTTTAAAACCAAAGAAGAAGAAACTCCAGCGCCTCCAAGCTATTCCTCCAAGTGTCTGCAGATTACCAAAAGGTCTGTCTCTAAAAGCACGTGTGCGGTGTTCGGACCGTG